CGCAAAGCCAATGGACAGAAACCGCAAGGAAGTCGAGAAGCGGTGTGGAAGAAAAATGGTAAACTGTCCAAAGTTGCTTTTGATAGCGAGATGGGCGGCATATAAATTCAATAAATGAATGAATGAATAAAAATCGCCCATGACGATGACACTATACAGCAGAGGTCTTCAAACTTGGCAACTTTAAGACGTGCGGACTTCAACTCCCAGAATTCTCCAGCCGGAGAATTCTGGGAGTTGAAGTCCGCACGTCTTAAAGTTGCCAAGTTTGAAGATCTCTGCTATACAGCTACAGGGCAGCCGTCTGTTTATATTGGATGGCGGCCCGAGGTAAGTGTGTCTGTGCAGGAGCTGAGCACAAAAACACACGCCCTACCAAAACCGAACTTCTAGTCAACGACGTCCTCGCACACCCTGCAGGCTAAAAAACTTCCTTCCTCCTGACGTCAATAATCCTGCCTGCTACGTGGTTGCAAAAGAGGCCTCGCCGTCCCTCCCTCGTCCACAATTGATTGGCTAGATCACGGCAGTCTCTTCGGCCTTTGGAGAAGAGGGCCGCGGAAGGGATTGGCTGAGACGCAAACGGTCGTTTCTCTTCATTGGCCGAACGTATTGCCGCAAGAGCCGAGTATGAATGGCCGGAGGTCGGTTTGAGAAGGGAGGTTAAAGCTTCCCTGAGCTCGGGCAACTCTGGCGGATCTTCGAGAGCCTTTGAGGGGCCGGCGACCCCCAGCAGGACGGCAGACGCAAGGTCCGTGAGTGCCTGCAGAGCTTGAAGGCCTCGCCCTTCAGCCTCGCCCGCCGTTCTAAAATTCTGGACGGGATGGAGAAGGGAGGGGAGAAAGGTGATTCCTTATGGCCGCCCAAAAGACGTCCGAAGGTTTTCTAGCAATAATTCAGACAAACCTGCTGAAATTTGTTTTAGTTAGGCGGATTCCGGCTGCTGCGTATCTCCAAAGAATTCAGAGCGCTCGTGAGGGGTGGGGTTCTCTGAAGCGAGGGACTTACTTGCCCTGTATTACTCAGTGGATTTAATGACTCGCAGAGAGTTCTACTTATATATTAATGGTTTGCTGACACTTGCGAATATCGGAGAGAATTCAGTGGCCCATTCGACTGAGAGGCTACAAAATTGTATATTTCAAACTGAAGGAGAATAGTAATAAGGATACAAACTTGTTGGTTTTAGTAGAAACATTTGTTTTCTGTAACACACATATATTATGCCTTGTATTTGTAAGGTGTCTGGCAAATGTCAGATCCTTGCCATTTGAACTCTTACCAATCTGCAATCTATGGGCATAGAATTTATCCCGGAATGGAGCTGTAAAGAGCTGTAAAACTGACACCTTTGTTATGTCCCCCCTTCCACCTAAGAAGGTATCTCACCTTTGATCTGTGCCCTTCACAACAGGGGGCCAAATGGGAACAGAGGAAAGAGATAATGCTGATAAGGCTAATGAGGAGTATTGTAAAGTCAGGATGATGTTCTACGATGTCTCTAACTGAATGAAAAGGAGCTTACACCTTCTTTGAAGGGTAATTCTTCCCTGCATATCCTTGGGGTACCTTGAGAACAACTGACCATCATGGCTTTAAACTTTGATCAGAGTAAACACTGATTGTTATTCAAGCCTCCGTTTAAGTCTTATATATGGCTCATTGTGACTTGGATGTGTTCTCAAACTTCTCTGGGTCTCAATGTATTCTCAAACCTTAAAAAACCTATCTCCCTCTGGAATTCAGGACCCTTCTAAATACTCAAACTCTGATATTATAGAATAAATAACAGTGTTCGGCATTGTAAAAGGATGTGCTTTTACCCTCGTGAGAACGGAGACATTAGTAGTACCAATAAAGGAGAATATTTTTAGCTCAGGGATGAAATGAGGGGTCCCTGGTGCTTTCTGACTTTGCTTGTTTTCTTGCAGACCTTTCATCATCAGTGCTAGTAAGGAGACTTAGCAGCACTGATGATATTACCTAGTTAGGGTAATGAAATGTCTGCAAGAAAAGAAGCAAACTCAGAAAGCACCAAGGACCCTCCCCCCAGACATTAGTGTTAGCACACACACATACCCTTTCAGTCAGATTGGTGGATTAATTGAAGTGCCTCATTGATCTAATCTGCCAGTTTGGCAAATACGACTCCAGTTCAAATTGCTGTTGGTCCGTCATGTGTGTTGCTCACTTTTCTTACGTACTTTTTGGGCATCTGGATAGGTAAGGGTTTTCATAGGAAATTGTAGCTGTTGTTACTAGGCTTTGTCAAACACAAGGCATGTCAGAACCTGAAAGGCTGATGGAGAAAAAAAATGTCCTGTTGTTGACTAAGAAAACTTCCTACCCCAAATGGATCCACCCTGGTACTCATACCAGTTTAAGTGGAATAACCTGGAGCTCATGTTTCCTGCTAATTGAGTAAATGTGCAAGTCCTGACTTGACAATACATATTCTATCTACTACTATACATGAATTACCATACAGTTTTCGCATTAAGCTGCAATATCTGAATGTCAGTGCCTTTAGTCTTAAACAATGAAAAGCTCTGAATTAACATTCTTGAAATATTGCATAACTGAATAACCACAATGGTAGAGAAAGGAGTCTGCCATGGATATTTTAATTTGGATTCTTGCATAGAGCAGAAAGTTAAGACTTAATGACTAAAATGATTCCTCTATTCTGAGGAATCATCATCTGGGAGCAATTAGGATGAACTGTGTTATAAGGAAATTTAGTTCTGACCTGTGATCCCAAAATGTAGGTACCTCAGATTAAGGCTCTTAAACATCTATGCATGCTTCCACAGACCCAGGTTATGATAGGAAAGAGGAACTGCTGTCAGGACCAGTTAACCAATCTGCTTCTTCCTGGTTTTGTCCTTTCTACAGAACCACCATTAGCTACAATATGGAGAGATCCTAGCACCATGGGAACTCCAGCCTCTATTACCCGTGATTTGCCACAGAATCAAATCGCTAAATCATGTACTAGAAAGAGAGCATCTGCCAATATTTTCCAGGGGGTGGGGTTACTGCAGTTACGTCGTCTCTTCCGTAGCAGTGGGGATATGCAAGCAGAAGAACGAGCCCAGCTAATTTGGGAGCGTGCAGAAAGCCAATGCATTACTCGGGCCTTACAACAGCTCCACAGAAGACAGAGAAAACTGAAGCTGCAAGCCAATGGGAAGCCTCTATCTGGAAAGGGCAGTAGTACCAGATTGCTAGAGCTACAGCACTTCAATCACTTAAGGTATAATTTTGAAATTTGCTCTTATACCGCTTTTTAATTTTACTTAGATTGCTGGTACTGGAAACAGAATTTGTAGGCTCTATTCCCTTTCCCAGAAACTTCTTCAGTTGCTTTCAGCTAAGAGAGTGAACATATTTTTATTCCGTTCACAGTTGATTAATGTACTGTACATCTTTCTTTAGGAAGGAAGGTAAGAATTTATTTAGCTTGGGTTTTTTAAATTGAAACTGTTGTTCTGGCATGTATTTAGAGGTACCCTTAGTTAGCTGCTGAACTATTTAATTGTGAACTGTGAACCATTCAATTGTAATATATTTCTAATACAATTGGTATTGTATAATTATTAAACAGTAATAAAAGCATGTATTGGGAAGAGTTTCTTTAAAAGGTTTCCAGTCTTGAAGCACCTTTTGTTAAATGATATTCATGGATATTACAATATAACCAAATTTATGTAGAATTGATTTTTCTCGGGTTTTCACAAATGGAAAACAGATTTTAGCTCATATAGCGAAATAGGTAGGTGAATAATTTATAATATTGCAGATCAGAAGAAACAAAGTTATAGGAAACTGCAGTGGGAGAGAAGATGAAATGATCAAATGTGTCATGATATTTCAAGATAACCTCTACCTTTTGGACGTGATGTGCAATTAATTATGTAAGGGACAGTGCTTGCATCATAATATTACAAACATTTCATTTTCTCATTTTGTTGCCATCTGGACTTGCTATAGGCAACCCTGGGCAAATTCTTTATTCTCCCTTCCTATTGTTAAGGGTTGTTAAAGCACAGAATATATCCATCATGGCTAAATAACATACTGTAAATCAATAGTAGACTGACATTGAGAGATTATTTGGATTTTATTTTCCATCAGTTCTAAGCAGCATGATCCATGACAAATTATGGCTGTAGTCTAAAACATCTGGAGAATATATTCTTCTGCTAACATAGCAAGAGGATATTGAGTTGAAGAGCAGCTGTATAATTTTTTTGTTACATTAGCAAACCAGCATCACAATGCTTTGCTCCCTATTCCTTATTTCTTGATTGTCTGCTAAGAAAAAGGAATATAATGCAATCCTTAATGAGACTTTTGTTGACCCACAGGATTGAAGATTGTGATACATTTACTGCTCTTGATGGTGACAGTAAGAAGAGACAGAAAGAGATAGCAGATGGAAGTGGCCACTACATTGCTTCCCAATCTAGGAAGAAGGAAAAAGAGATGGATGTGGCTATGTACACAATGAAAAATGATTGTGATCTTATGCCAATGGTTGTAGCCGAGTGTAATCAGACTAGCCTGGAGAAGCCTCAAAGGGAGAATGTCTGACAAATGATTGCAGGTAACAGCAGAAAAAAAATTGAAAAATTATTTTGCTCTAAAGCACTTTGGTTTGCTAATTTAGACTTGATCAGTTTATGTCAAAGCACAAACACTACGTATTTTGACTATTTATGGTTTATATTTAATAAAGCTTCCTGTCTAAAGATGTCTCTGAATAAAAGAGTCCAAATGTCTCTGTA